TGCTGACTGGAGTGATATTTCTCACTCGAAAATCCTGTTGACCTCTCGATGCCCAGCAAAAATACCTGATCAAATGACAACGGATTTACTCTATCGCTTGGAAACGTTTTAGTCTGATTCATTTGATTCGTCTCCAACGAAGACGTTTGTTTCATATTGAGGGAGCTGGGAATTTGGGCAAACTAATCAGAGAACAGCACGGACTTATGAGTTAAACTAGCCACTTGCTGCTTACGCGTGATCTGGTTTGGGATCCCAAACAAAGAAGGTAAGATGGATGACTATTGAAGTGCATGTACCAATGGCAGAAATCCGGTTAAAACAAATTCAACTCCCTATTTTCATATCCACTCGGTAGGACTTTTGTGTAATGAGAACGATTAACCATCTATCTCACCGGTTTTACATTATACACTGGATGCTTCCTAATAGACCTGTAAGGTTAGATCTCTACAGGCCTATAAGAATTTATCATGACTGGGAATAAAATCTAATTTTTAACCAGGTTTCTACCCTTTTGGAAAGTCTTTTCAAGTAAATTAACACGCATCTGTCAAACAAACTTTAAAAAGTCCTCCAAGAGTGTTGAAACGTAGTCAAGTAACAAAANCAAAAATTGGTTTCTGGTTCTTTCTGACAGTAATCAATTAAGACATGTCCAAACAAAACCTAACCTTGCCGGTCTTTTCGAAAAATTCGAATGGATGATACAAAATATTCTAGATGGGGTTACATGATTGATTGAATTTTTTAAACTCGTTTAGCATACAAAGGCCTACAAAATCCACTGAATTTAAAAAACATCGTGGGGACAGAAAAGCGTAGAATTTTCTGTGCACGACTTTTCCCATGAATTATAAATTTAATACCTAAAGTTGTGGACCATTTGTGACTGTTAAAAACCAGATTCGGTATTTTTAGTTACACGCTAATTTTGTGGTTTGGTGGTCCAAAGCACCACCACGTGAATTCTGAGCTCGCCTGTACGAATCCCTCTCATCACCGTCTTAATTCTCCAGCTCTTCATGTCCTCGGGCATCAATAAACAGAGCACTTTCCCACTTGTCAAAATTCAACACAAATCGTGACTCAAATCAAGGAAGCGTCCGAAAGCTAATCTTAAACGATCAAACACGTCTATTTCCAAGTTTAATGACAGAAAACATACCGATTTCAGGTTATGAAGGAGCATGAACCTTCTACACATTGCAGACAGTTGTAACAGTCGGATGTCAAAAATATCAATTAACAGTTTGAATACCACCAATCCATCTTGTCGTCTATTCCAAACAGCACTCAGTTTGTTTGCGGTGAGTGTGAAACTTCACTGAACAAGTCCGAGGATCGTAACTTGCCCCACCACCACCACCACCACCACCACCATCATCATCAGTATATAGTGGCATGCATCCTTGTAGGCTTTCAGCACGTGTACGAATGTATCTATTGAGGTAATTCACCGCTCAGAATTCCAGGCCTGTAAGAGACGGCTATTATAAATGAACAGAAGGTACTGGAGATAATGTGCTTCATTCTTTCTAGTGTTTACAACAAAGTTTTGTGTACAAAGACAACCATGAAGGAACGCTAAGCTTTTTTATTAAATCGAAACAGATTTACTCTTGCGATGATATAGCCAAAATTAACTCTATAAAGTATGTGAAAGCAATGATTTTTGATGGATGAGTTATTTGTTCTCAATGCTACAGCGTGCATTATGTTCAGCAACACCCGCACCTAATTTGGATGTCATGTTAGATTATCCATATCCCTGGAATTGTGCTTGCCAGGCAGTGCCACGGATAGCATACTAACCCTGGGATGATTAATGCTTGTCGGGTATGTGCGACTTTAACCGTCGAACAGGTTACGGAAAGCAAATCATCTTGTCACCCATACCACTAAAAGGGGATTGAAACCATGCGTGCATCAGTTACTTATTTAGGTATCACTTACAAACCTCATGACAAGTTGGCATACCACGCCAGTGAGGAGCAGTAAATCATTCTGATTTGATTGTTTGTTTTTTTAATTTGACATTACGTTTTGCTTAGTCGTTTCTGCCCCAATCACAAGAAATAATTTCGATTGAGAGTTATAAGCAATCGAAAGTGTGTCAGAAGAGTTGTGGTTTTCTAGAATCAGGTCACATCAGTAATGTGTGAACCAGGTGTTCGGCTTAATAACACGGTTGGTGTAACCTTACACAGTACATTAAATACGTTAATAAACAGTATTGATCCGTGGATTTAACAGTTCAAAATTTTGCATGCTTCTCACATTATCCACAGTCCTACATCGATTGGTTGCAAACATCGACACATATACGTATAGCCAGACGCAGCTCTTTGAATGATTACTTCCCCAGGTTCAGTGAGCAATAATATTAGTACTTGCACGGAGTAGAGGTGAATTTAACTCAATTTTATGACGAAGTTCATGGTGCATGGAGCGGAGGAAGCGTGAACCATATGTTCGGAATCACAGCTCGGCCCGTGTTGCCCTTGCAATGTCAAACATAACGGGGCAGTTGACTCGACCCAACTGAGTATCATAAGCCCGGGACATCACGGATAGAAGTTACGCGCTCTAGCTTCCTGATCACCGGATATCTGATCAGTCTATTCCACTTTTTCTATACAAGGTATACAGGAAATCTATCTTTGCAAACTTGTTGTGAGCACCTCACCTCATTCATCCCTGCACTTATATCCAGGGTTATCAGTCGGTTGAGAATGTTCCAAAACTAACCACTTGGCAAATGGGGAGTAAATTGCGTTCAACTTGTTAGATCCCTAGGGTTTTTGATCCTCCTTTGCGTCCATTAATTCACATGGCTAATGAGACTCAATAAGATCGAAACAAGTCAGCAAGGCTTCGGAATTCTCAGTTCACTTTTTTTGTGTTCTGTATACTGGGCTACTCATGACGGAAATTTAACTGTTGTTTAACATTATGATTATCACTCCATGAGTCTAAACTTAACAAAATACGTTTTTCCTTCAAAGTATGACATTGATGTGGATCGAGATGTTGTGGGGAAATGTTATCGGATGTGTACAATGACCAGTAGCTAAGAGATTGTGTCATCACTGGTAAAATGAAAACCCGATACGTGTATTTTGCAGGGTATTTGTTGATAGTTTTCACCTCAGATTATAAACTCAGAGATTAATAAAATAAATGGTTTTAAACAAAGAATCGACGAGTATGCATGCGCAAAACTTTCAAGTTTTGAATCTCCCCAAATGCTGCTATTGTTGATAACAAAAACCTGAGAAACAGATTATGAGTAAAATGTGTTCAAAAAAAACCAAACTCTCAATACGTTGACTATTGATTGAAAAGCGTGCTGAATATTAAGCTGTCAAACATATGTACGCATTTATGGGTTTTGGAATAATAAGGATTTGCTATACAGTCATCATTGTCTTCGTGATCAATGGGGAAACGAGGTGGATGACATCTAAACAGAAGAGGGGCCGATATTTAAAATGCTGTAGTTTGTAGTTCACTAAATTTGGTAGCTAATGAATTCTTTGAAGGAAAACAAAGACGGGAGATAGTGATGAGATGATCCGCGTCTGAACACTCAGAACGGTTTCTTCAAGAGACCGACAGAAACTACGGGAAAGTTGAGGACCAAACATACAAATCACCAAAGAGAACCATATATCTGATACAGCCAAAACATTTCCCAATTCAACAACAATGATAATGGATAATCAATGTAGTTTTCCAATACAAAACGATCAAGTTTTGCGACTAGTTGAATCAACAGAGTACATCTTAATAAGTCTATTTCACACCCCAGATGTGCTGTGAATCCTAACTTATGCTCTCCTCCCCCGTGATCAGTATATCAGTATATAGTCTTAAGAATGAGTAATCGAAAAGAATCCGGTGCTTCATTTGTCGACCCAATGAGCAATGGGATAATTCAGCAATTGCGTTTCACTGACCAATGGGGAATGCAGTGAATACTAAAAATTCAGCGACAGGTTTGCTGAAGCGAGTTAAAGCCATGTCCTTTTGTGATGAAGTCAAAACTTGAAAGCCGCTTGTGAAACTTACGAGAAAAAACTGGATCAACCCAAAATAGGAAAAGTTCACGGGGAAGTTGCGTAATGAGATACAGCTCTGATAAATTGAAGTATAACCTATTCAATCCGGAAGTGAACTGTAAAGATTCGTGCAACAGAGTCAGTCCCGTTTTCTGGTTGATCCGAAGGAATTCTATTGTGAAATACGTCAACAATATGATCGAAGGTAATATCTTTGCAAGTGTTTTTTTTCACTCACTGAATACCCAAGCAGCTTGCGCCAAATTTCCGATTGATCCCTAAAATTGCGTTCACAATCTGTTACCGTGAGCTAGAAGCCCCAACGCTTGGAACGAAATTCTGTTTGCACCATCCACACGATCAGAGAATTTATTTTGAAACATAAACCGAAATCTACAGGCAATATCTCCAATGCATTAAAACATTTAAAGACAATTTCATCGAACACGTGCGAAATACCGCAGCAGAGGAAAAACGCTATCCCCGGACTTTTAACAAAATATCACCGTGGGACATTTGAGCTACATGATCAAAACACGTAACCACTGATTTCGAAGCCTGATATAGGTCCCGGAATCGTATCGAGGAACAGAGCTGATTACTTAGAGAAATCGGAACTAATTCTGACTGACAGGACGAAATATTAACAACCAAACCGGGATAAGGACATTAAAGCTGGTATTGAAAAACAAGTAACGACTTAAGAGTGAGAACTCAATCACAACGACAAGGTTTAAGGCGCAGACGTCTCACGGTCCCTTCAGATCACACGTTCCGATTCATCGGCTACAATTCATAATTTCATTTTTGGCTTCTCCATCCCATCGAGTAGCACAATGGCTGGCCTTCACACTAGAACTCATTTGGAGATAAATGACGAAATTTAGCTCACGCAGTACAGAAATAGTCAAAACCTTGAACCCGAAAGATACACTGAAGTTGTTGCCGCACGTGCCGTTACGCTCCATCAGTATGCCACTAGCTGAAACCATAAATTAGATCTGCAGTCACAAAGCAAAGAACAAGACAAACATCCCCATTCCGATACCATATTCGACAGAACGCATTCTAAGCTGCACGATAAACATTCTATCCTTACGCAATGGACATATGCCCCTATAAAGAAGATAGCTTTGCAATGAGTTCACTAATTGGTCCATTCATTAATAGAAAACTGTCTTAGGCTAAGTTGACAAATCATCAGATGATCCAACATCATCAGCAGTGCCTGGTGCCTGTGAAAAACCGAATGAGCTAATCCAAACATTCACTATATAAACTCTGTTTTTTTTTAAATGGCTCAATGATATTGTTCCGATGGAGAAACTACATCACTATTTGTAAACCGAATTTATTTTCCAGGATGACCAATTTGAAACAAAATGCACGGAACAAACGCACAGAATTGGGTGATTTCAGAAAATCGTAGTTGTCACCTCAGTGTTACTTACTTCGAAGAAGTTCACAATCAGATTGACCATGCTCGATCGATGGGCACGATCTTGTGAGCTATAACAGTTCAATTGTCCGGTCACATGAGTTCGGTCCATGGTGGCTGAACGGACAAATCGCTGAATCGAACAAGGAGAAATACAGCTGACTAATAGTTGTGTTCCGAAACCATGGATGGGATGAAGCAAATTCGTTAGATCCTATACAGAATGATTGTAGTAGTGGTAGTAGTAGTAGTAGTAGTAGTAGTAGTAGTAGTAGTAGTAGTAGTAGTAGTAGTTGTTGTTGTTGTTGTTGTTGTTGTTGTTGTTGTTGTTGTTGTTGTTGTTAGTCGTGATCGGAATCCGACATTGTTGTGATATTGATCACAATACATGCACACGCACACACACACCATCACCCTAATGTGTGCATAAAAACAATAAACTCCTCGCGCCCCTAGTTACGTTCCTTGCTTCTGTTTATTGAGCCATATGAACGAACATTTTTAATATTTGAAAATTAACCGCAATACTTGGATTTGGCAACATGTCCATCTTCATTCGGTGCTCAAGAATCGAATCAACTCACCATTCTGAATGATCAGCAAGTCAGTGGGGACAATTGATGAACTATGCGGCAAAAGATCACAAATATTTTGATGTTTCATATGGGTCACAAACCCACGTGACCGATTCCATCCACAATTCAGGCAACTTATTCGTGCGAAATCCGTTCAGTCAACAATTGATAAGGGAGGAAAAAAGTGTGAAAGGAACATAGAATTCAACCTTTTCTTTAGTATGTTTTTGTTTTTAAGGGCCTAGATAGTTGCTTAAACTGGAGTACATTGAGTTAGGACAAAATATTTTGGTTACATCACTGATTCTTGACTGTGGTTGTAGAACTGGAAAGATGCGTAAACTAATCGGGTTTGAAGAAACGAAACTGTTATGGGCCAGTACATGTATCGTACGAAAATCTGAGAGCCGCCACCATTAACGGTCAATCAGTTCACAGGAATAGCCCAATTGGACTTCGAACTTGCCATACCCCTTGGAAGGTTACAGAACTTCAGATCATTGCAAATCAGCAATAGAACAGGGATGAAACTGTTACCCATCTGAAGCAAGTTAGTAAAATATTCGGCAGTTTGGTGATGAAAATCGGTTAGTTTCCGTTAATTCTTTCTCCTCTGCATCAAAGCCCTTTCAGCGACGATGGAAAAGACAAGAAGGCGGGAGTCCAAAATGTCCAACCATTAAGGTATACATGCGCAGATAAATTCAAGTTGATTGAGAAACGACCATGCTGCACATCAAAACCTCTGTACCAAAAGCTGATAGACCACACACGATGAGTACTCGAGATTACCGTACAGGTCGCATAATGATCAGCAGAATAAAGCAATCTCGAGTAATGCGTGGGAGTTCAATTTAGATGGCCCTCATGACATTTTAAATCATATAATCACCTGTAAAGAAGAACAGAATATCACAATTTCAGCATGCTTGACCTGCTTCGTGTTTGTATTTAACCCCTACGGGGAATTCCGGGACTGACATTTTAAGCGGGTTTTAAGAAAGTTCGATTTCGTCTCACGCGGTGAGAGAACAAAGAAAAGCTCATTTGCATGTTTGGAGAGCTAAGCAAACAATTTTGAACAAATTGATTCAGAACAGTAATCAACGGTGCTGTATGTTTATGGCAAAGCGGATTGGATAAGCCACTATATCTTAACAATATCATTGCCATTGCGATGCATCGGAAACGTACGCCGTGTAATTGGTTCGCACCCCTCGTAAGGTTTACGTATCCTATTTTGATTTGAACACGCTTGAGAATAGGAAAACAGGTCCCAAATCATATATGTAACATTCGTTGTTTTCATTCACAAATTGATCACAAACTGTTACGTTGTCAGGTCCTGGGAAGGCAATACAGCCGAACAAAAACCAGATGACCATTGGCTTATTGTGCGTGCCGGTAATCTGTGGCTGAAGTAACACGTGCACCATGATCACCACTTACCCGTCTCGGTACTACTTCAGGTGATCGTGATTTGGAAGATTCACTTTTCTGTCTCTCCCGAACCTGAAATGCAAAAATAACATTGGAGTTGAACCACTGGTATGCGATGTGGATGGGTGTAATTATGAGCGCTGATTGAAACTGGATCGGTACACATAGAATGGAAATGAATCCTTTGCCTCCAAGGTAAACCAAAGAGAATATCGAGGGCAAAATTACTCGGGTTTCACCCAGTCAACGCTTTGTAACGTATTGCNCGTATTGCAAGGATTTTCTGCTTATAAAAATCAAATACCAAACATCAATCAGTTCAGAATTCCTAAAGGCCAAGGGTACAGATGACGAATCCTGAACCTGAACAACTAAGACAGGTGATAACAATGAAGCGACACGCGGCACGCTTTTAGTACTCATCCTTCTAGGATGAATAGCTCAGCGGAATTACACCGTAGTAAGAAGAACCAAGTACCTACTCATGATAACTCACAACTCTACTATTCCCCAATAGGGTAGTACATGCTTCGAATCGAGCTACCAATCACCAAAATTGGTTGATCGTAGTCGGGTTTGTAGCTCGGATCCAAAGAACCTCAGAGACAGCGACTTAAACCGCTTGATGGCGACCATCCACGAAGTGGGTTGTCTTCAGTCTTTTTTCATGGCAGAGTGCCCGTGTGAACCCAATCACATGTAGTCTGCGCTCCAAAACTCCTGAAGGCACTCGTTCTGACGCCAATTGGAAGCAGCGTCGGTCAATTCCTCCAAAACTTTTGCTTGGAGGGAATTCGCCTGACAAAAGATCGCGATCCGGAATCTCTGAATTTAAGCCAAGAACGCTAGTTACCAACTCACCAACACCATTTTGCTATACTGAAAGACAGCATCGTTCTCTCCCGACCCAACATCTGGTATTTACAAAACAATTGCGGACATATGAAACACTGTTTTAAACTGCCAAGTTTCAATGATAAGAGCAGATTTTTCTGTCAACTATTCATCGTATTAAGATTTATAAAACATTATGAACTAAACGGCGACTTCCAGGCACCCTGAGATGCTCACATTCAAATAAGTTTGTAAGATTGCTCACGCGGTTCCGTGAAATTGGTGATCCTTTTTTTGTCAATTGTTATACCCATTGCTGATTGTCTAGGAGAGCTGGTGTTTGTTTTGGATTTGGATGAAAACGTGGAGACAGCTGTGTGTGTGCGTGTGGCATTAGTCTGACTCTGTTTCGGGTGCGGGTGGGTATGGACACGAATCTTGAACTACTTTAATATAGTACACCAATATCAAGACTGGAATAATATGCGAACCCAGCTTGAGAACCCAGTCTCTTCGAAACTGTCTAAGATGATTGGAATGCTCTGAATGACATATTTTCAACGACACATGCAACGCTCACGTTTGAAAATTTACAGAATCCCTTTCAAATTCTATGTTTTGTTTTTCCTCTGTCACCAACCAATGTTGACGTGTTGTCAAATTGTATGCATCGATGATCACTGTGGAATGTCAATTTAGACCCTGTCTCAATTGAACTCACACGAACTGTCGTGTCGTGGTGCTATTATTCTGTGACGAGTGTCACTTTCTGCCGGGATGTGCCAAACAGATTTACAAGAAGTATTCTTTAAGGCGAATTGGTTGTAGCATTTTTAGAGTTGTGCCTGAGTTGCACTGCACTTTTTATAGAATTCTTATCGTTGCGAATGATCTAGTTCATTCGGATTGCGTGCTATGATATCTTGGTAACATCATTTGTCACATCCACTGGATGAGGTAATTGGTTGACACTCAGGTACCCCTGACAGTTTGTATTGCATACGAACGAATACCTACCGGGACTTTGTGCTCGGCCACCTCGAGCACCACCGATTGTGGAGGTTTCCGGGCCGGCAATATCCGGGGCTCCGTGTCTTCCTGAGGTTGCGTGTAATTTCCAATGGGTCCGTTAATCGTGTACCGCATACTTCGTCTTACTTGATCCTGTTTGCTCGATCTTTTACTGTGTTCAATCGGCGACTGAGTCCGAACAATTGGAGAAAGTGGAGCGTGGAATGAGGGGGGGGAGGGGCAATAAAAGAGAAAGAAAAGAATTGATGGAGTGGAACGGGGCGCTTCAATCTACGTCACGCAAAAGCACCTTTGCAGAGAAGTTCGCGTTGATAAAGACGAATTGAAATCATGGTGCATTAAGTGTACCACGACTACGGCTTGTAAAAAGGAATGAAAATTTTGATTTAAACCAATTAAGGAATGTGCTTTGATTATGAACAATTTTTTCAGTGCACAAGACTAGTTATTGCATTCGCTTTGGCCTACATTAGCATAAATGGGTGACATGGTCTGGTAGTTTAACTTATCGGATTAGCTTCCTGGAAGTTGCGTGTTCCAGTCCCCTCACTTTCGTCTTATTTTTCTTATTTTCCAAGTTTTTAATAATCTCAGTTACCCTCCAGAAAATTAGTAATAACTTGCAATTTAGTTTTATCATTGTTATTCAGATTGATTACGAGAAAATTGGCTCAACTGGATGAGATGTCGCAGTTCATCCGACAGATGTCTCTTTCACACTCATACAGATAAAGTAAAAAGAGTTTAACAAATATGTTTGTATTTATCACTTTATATCGATTTTTATTTATTGTGGGTAACAGAGAGAGATGCGAGGTGAATGAGGATCGGAGGTGAAGCATGTGAATCGGTTTACTAAAGACAAAGTCCGCCGGCGCTTCTTAAGTGTCCATTCGAAATAAAATCACTGGACAACAGGTCCCCGGGGAACAGTAGTTCTAATCGCACAAAACGCAATACTAAGTGAGTCTGGAAATTCTGGAAACTCTGCAAATTCAACATCGTCCCCTCCCTCCCACTGCCGATATTCTTGGTGTACAATGTAAAACGTGAACTTTGTGCTATTTTCAAAACGTTTGTTCTTAATGATAAAACTAAATTCAGCAGAGATAAAACATCTCAGTCATTTGAGTTGAACGGAAACCATCAAAAGACTAGGTGATTTATAAAAGCATCGGGAAATTTTGATGATCTGATACGTTTGCTTTTAATAAAAAGAGAACTTTCTTTAGGGATTTGATGTAGGGTTGTCATCATTACCTTATCATCCAGATTCTATACCGCCAGTAACAATATTGTTATGAGATGTACGAATAACCACTTCGGTATCCGCATTTTTCTATTAGAAAAGCGAAGAATTACGTGACAAATTTTGAATATGACAAGAAAACAGAACAGGGGATAAGATGTCGCTTTGACTGACAGAAATAGTGAAAGATCTAACGCAATTGATAAACGTCAACTGGGGCCGTGCAGAAGATTAATGCATCATACTACATTTTGAATGTCATCAAATGGAATTCAATTTATCTACCCTATTGCTGCCTGTGCAATGAAATTTCTTTCCAATGAGAATAGTGAGCACCATCCGTTTAAATACTTTTCAATGGGAGTTTCGTCCCTCGGAACAGGAATGAAATTTAGTTGAAACCAGGTACAGGAGAACTGAGCGCTGGTCGAAAGACTATTACTGTTTCATATGCTTGAATGAAGTAAACCGAGGCGGTCTCAGATCTATTCAGTTTTTGCCTATACTTAGTCTACCTGTATTGGATATATTCACTGTGGTACTGCTGTCAGCTGTCTACCTGTTCCACTTACTCCTGTTTTACCCCTATTCGATCAACTGAGTAACTCACAGAGGGCAATTAGTTCAAGGCTGTGTAAAGTACACTGAAATAAAATTGGATGTCATCATTGAGTTATTTTTTATTTATTCTAACTATAAACATTTGTAATTTGTGCCAATGAGCCCTATAGAGAAAAATCATTCCTTCGGACAAACAAAGTTGGCTTTGGAATTAAATTCAAGTTGAACTGACACAATACGATGGAGGAAAAGACAGATAATTGGGACGTGTAACTGATTATTGAGTTAGCAGCAAGTCCGACTAATTAGGATGCATCTCAGGTGTTATGTACTCAAACACTTTAATATTTATTTCTATGAACATGCTTACTTGACCCACATGAGTTAAATATATTTTATCTTCAATAAATGATATTGCGATACTGAGCTAATCAAAGAAATCAATATCCAGTTTAATTTGTGTAAGTTCAACAGACGGTGATTTGAAATAAGTTTACTTCGGTTTCGATCTTTATGTGCAATCCTCATTTCATTCAGCTGGCCATACACGCACACACGCGAGTCAGACTAGACCTAAACTTCGCTCTTGTTAGTGTTCATCAGAGTCCCATATCCTTACACAATATTTGAGCTCTCGAAAAATAAGGTCAACTCCATACCAACTCAATGGAGTGACTGGTTCTATACCACTGAAGAAACAACTGTCTTCGTCGTGGACAAAATTCTACATCAGATGGATTACGCGGGAGCGTCAATACCAGCGAAACAAATTTGATCAGAAACCTCTTTTTCGGACTTACGGAGTTCACTACAGAGCACAAATAACCAATTCAAGAAAAATCCCGAGTCAGCTAATGACAGTTTATTTACTTTTCTGGTATTTAGAGAATAAAGCAGCCCATGTGGATGCGTGGGATTTTACGGGAATAGGCATGCAAAGATCTATGCCACACTCATACACATACGCACAGAATGTGTCAGAAATCATGATAGATAGGAGGAAGTCGGTGACTGGAATGATTGCAAATGACACTCACCGTACTCGCACAACATGCTCACGTGCCTTCCACTCCACGCTATCTATGCTATGTATGCACACAGTGGGATAAGACAACTAGTGTGACCATCGGTGCGTGGCAGATCACAAATGAAACCACAGCAATGGATTTATACAAATTTACTTCAAACGCGCTCAAATCCTCATTGGATACCTTTTTAATATTTCAAATTGGTCAATAATTCCTCCAAGGGTTTTCACGTGTTTCCTTGGACTGCAGGTTCCCCATATTGCGAATTTTCTTCAACCTACAGTGGTCAGTCCTTTCGTTGTGTCAATAAGGGGATTCAAACTCGTAAAACCTAGGCAAATAGACTATGATACAATCGCAACCCTTTACCTAAATCACTCAACCGCTAAACCTATTCCAAACGCCCCTCGGGGTGCTCAAAAGCAAAATGAGTCAGCATTGAAGCTTCCCTGGTAAACCTACGCTTACCAAACACACATTCACACGGTTGACTATTTGCCATTGTGATCCACGGCATGAAAACCTACACACGATAGGATGCAACGGAGATCCTTTCCAGCTAATTTGTCACTTTGTATTGTTCTTAGTGTATTTGTGGGACCTATATAAAGACCTAAAAGCATCTATTCTTGCTCTATGGTGTATAGAAAATATAACGGGGGCAATAGTGTTTCAACGCCACTATCTGTGGTGCACTGCATGAGTTTTGTTTGGGCAACCAACGGTGCATCAATCCATTACAAATTATTTGTTACTTAGTGGTCGGAAACAACTGACACTGGGCATACGCCCTATTAGCTAACCTTCGAGGTCACATCTGGTGCACGGATCTCTTCATATTAAGTTGCTCACTCAAATTGCATGGGTATCTGAACTCCCTAGGTAATATGTAAGCTGACTGCCATACCAGGTTTTCCTTAGAATTACTGGAGTCCACCAGGGGGGAATCTAGAGCAAAATGAATTACTATCGTGCAATTGGGAAATAAAAAACGTTCTGATCAGCTGCCCGGTGAGTAGGTAGTATGCTTACTTTCTACCCCTGAGGTCGTGGGTTTGATCCCCAGTTGGGTCCATGGATTCGCACTGCTTTAGAGACCACACCAGGTTGAAATAACTGTGCAGTGACTCTCAGTTTTTCAGTTCACTCTTGATTTGCTCTTTAGACGAAAAAAAACATCATTTGATCAAACCAAATACTCCAGCACTCGTATGTAAATCATTTACATTATGAAACTTAACTTAATATCGCCTAAACCTTTACATCTATCACCATTCGGTTGTGTTTGAATTCCACCACCAGCGTTGCAGCCTAATTTTCCCTCATCATTCTCCCACCATGCACTGATATCACCCAAGAGCATTACTTCCCCTGATCACAATTTTTCATTAAAAAAACCAATTTCACGATTATACTTAGAATTACTAATATCACGTTTATTTAGTCAATCTGACCACTTACTTTCCTATCATATGTAGTGATCAATAACCCATTCGTTTTCGCCAATCTGTGTCGTTTCTCCACCCTAGCGACCACCTCACGAAGTTCTGCCAATCGGTCTTGATACAACTCGCTATCACGCTCCAGAGCTCCAACACAAATCCACGATTCGGTCTCATCCAACAGCGCGCGTTCCTCTTTGGTGACCGTGTCCTTCAGAAGACCTTCAAATCGACTTTTTGTTGCATACACATACTCTTCCAATGCGTTTCTGGCTGCCGATCGTTTGGTTTGCTCCTGATCCTGCAGGAACATATGCATCTGAAGGTGGGAGAGGAGTAAGTGAATAATGTGGGGGGGATGGATTTGAANGTTACGGGACAAGTGTTTTAGTTTTAATTCACATTTGGTTAGAAATTGTGGTGTCATATCAGTGGTACTGATTGAAGCTGACTGCCCTTCAGCTTTAATCTTCACTCGCAATTCTCAAGTTATTGGGCGGTGGTGGCCACCTCGGAGAAAGTATGTTCTAATCCCACCACGAAGGCCTGAATTCCTTCAATAAATTTTGTATGACAGCCGTTTTATTGACCGATTCCCCCTTTTTCAAAAATCATATCATTAAATAATCATTATATAGGATTATATATATAAAGGCAAAGAAAATTCAACTATAAATAATGTTATGCTTATCAGCCAACCTGTCCTAGTTCGAATCCCGGACCCCGGCGCGTTGAGTGTTGTGTTTTTCTACTACACCAGGTGTATGATTTCCTGGATTAAACACACACTGTCTAACGATGTGCTTAGAATCTTGGTCTATCAAACTTTTGAAAAACTGTTTACCAACTTGATTGGCGGAGTACACTTGAGCTTCCAGGAATCCCCACAGATAAAGAACACTGAGAAACGTCGTTTAATTCGATAACTGTGGTCTGACAAATCACTTTACCTTTTCAAAGTTTCTGATTTTATGGTTTTCTCAAATCCGACAAACCGTTCACGGTGATTTTAGCGGACAACAACAAATTTCGAACCTCGCGTTTGCCCAACCTCCCACAGATCAAGTACATATATACCAGCACGAGTCTTTTTTGCATGCTGTTTTTCACGGATTCTTTGCTCCTATGGATTCGTTTTACGCCTTTGTCCACCACTTAACTATGTACTGAATGTTGTCTCATTTTTATCTCTCAAAACATCATTTCATCGCATTGAGGATGATCTCAATGTTTTATTGGTAAAACTCCCACTTCTGCGTTTTCCACCCCTCTTTTGATTAATTGCATTGGAATCAAAGAGTGTTCTCATAATTCTGTCAATAATATCTGAGAGTGAAAACACAAATTTGTCCTTTAACATTTTACTTCAGTGTGGTTCCGCACACAGTTTGGCTGGCAATCACAATATAAACTGTAGTTCAAGTGCGAGAACTGTTATATGGATTTAGGTTTGTACTTGACTATCAAAAGGAACCAGTTACCGATGTAATATGAAAAGCACAAAAACACCGCTTGCTGTGCTCATGTGCCAGGCGTTTTAGCCAGAAAACGATGCCATGAAATAGATGTCACTAAAGAGCAAATTACCAAAAGGCAGTAGAGTGAAAATATTGTTTTATCCAGCGATAACTAAGCACCTAGCTCTGAGTTTTCTAATAACATCTTTCACATTCCGTGCTTTGTCGCTGGTTAGAAATAAATGTGGAAAGTTGTTCGATAAAGATGTAATCGCGTAACAGCAGAATAACTATAGAGCAGATCACATCCAATCATTGCGTGACTGCTCTAGAAGAAACCTGAATGAGCACAATCAAAACTATCAACTATTTGGTTCGATAAAAAAAACTGAGGATATAACCGAATGCACTTCATGCTACTCTGGAAACCAGACAAAGAGAGACTGGAATGTAGGGTGAACATATAGTGATCGAAGTTAGTGATGACTGGATTAGGTAATTTGCTAATTTCGCGTTTGTATTGGAAAACTTTACCATCTGACTCGTAGGATTCACCTGGATGATAATAACTTGTGTCATAGTATGAGGTTTCATTGTTCCAATGCGTGGTCATGGAAGTTTTACCGGAAGTTCAGGCTCCAATTACGAGCAGAAACATTGGTATCTAGAATTTTGCATCCCGATCTGGTCCTTTCCCGTACTACTGCAATCTAGTTACACTTGTTCAATTCAGTAGGTATTATTGACCAAGAACTTAAATGTTAGATTTTCGTGCACACTAACCATGGGGGTTTACAACCAGTCTCACCTCGGTAGCCCGTAAGTCACTGATCTCTTTGTTTGTCAGTGCCGGAACATCTGGGAATTTTGAGTCGCGTTGAACTTCCGGTTCGATCACTCGATATCGGACATCAAATCCGGCAGAAGTCATGGCGGCCTGTGATTCACAGAGGGAAAAATGAGGAACAAAGAAATGAATAATTTTCTTTTATTATTCTATATACTGGCAACCTCATTAAAACAATAAACAAGCACAGATTCCTGCATGAACTTCTTTCTACAGCTCACTTTATTTATTGTTTCAAATGTTAAACAGTCTAAACATTTCCCTCAAATTCATCAAAGTGTCACTAATGCCTGATGACTAATACAAATAGAAATGTAAACCAGTGGGAATTGATCTTCCTCTCTCTCTATTTGTTAGTACAGTGGCCACGGTTGAAACACTTCTTTGAATGGTGGTGATGTGGTGATGGTAATCACAAAGCAATAAAAACCAGTCCAAAACTTACGGTGGAGAAACACCGAACGCCCAAGCTGGATAAACCTGGAGACCAATAAGACTCTTCTCTACCGAATGGGGATAGCGAAGAACGGATTCAAATACATGGGCCATTACGCAACGATGGATCATCAAGTTATGTTGTGCATAATAAGCACAAGCGAAATCCAAACTATAGTTTAACCGGCGTTCCCAACAGCTCCTCCAGCCATCCAAAGGGTGGGTGCAAACAGGTAGTCTGGAGTGGATTTTATAGATACGCGAAAAAGACAAACATGTCGCATTCTCATCCCACATCAATGTTCCTCGATTGTCTCGCCTATCAAAGCAATCTATGTAGAAGATGGGGGCATATGATAAAGTGAAGTAAATCATCTCCCTAAATGTTTCACATGGGGACCATGCCTTAATTCATTTGTCTAAGTCCGTGAAATATCACGGGTTGTTGGGATTTTATGAGGGGAACTTGATCACATCATACAATTATCATTGCTGACTCGCAAAGCTGATGTAACTAACAAAACCCCCAATGCCCCTCATGTTGATCTGACCAATCAAATAAATTTTACAATCGTCTTCTCAGGTTCTCCTTTGTCTCAGTTGAATGGATCTTACGAAAAACAGATGCATTTTGAACAAGATTTTTGTGAATAAAACAAGTTGTTATAATGTGTTTTATAATTCGTTTTGTGCTGATATACTTGTCTTCAATAACTTCAAAAATCTTCTGCGGTCAAAGGATCGATGTTTCACTAGAATTATCATGAAAATTCAGCTAAATATCAGCTTATACGTTATTATTTATTTCCTGCAGTAGGAATATCATTGAATAAACTGTTTAAAATAGATTTTATGTGAACTCAATAATTTCTCATATGAATTCTCGGGCATGAGAACTTGAATGCTAAACCGTGTACGTCTTACTCCGTTGCAGTCCGTTTGGTCCCGGAAAATTTTGGATATTTTTTATCTTCATTAATCTGGAAAGTGTATGCCGAAAACAATCGCTGGACAGCTAGCTGTTTGGTGCATTTTAGAACTCATCAAGCGTGAGTGCCACAATCATATGTCTGTCCATGCCCAAATCAAAAACTTCCGAGTCCCAAACTCAAACTCTTATCCCCAAAGCTATACGTTCCATGAGTAACATTGTGGGTGATGCATTTAGTGGATTAAACATCTTGTCATTAAGTCCTACCTAAATTCCTATACAGTAAGGTCTGGTTTGTATCTCTTCTTTTGAAAGTATTTTCATTGTGAACACTTGCATGTGAATTTGGTCGATTGTTCTCGGTCTACAAGTAGTCGCACCTCAGTGAACCATCATTGTATTTAAGTTGGTACTGTTTTCTTCATTATAGACGGTGAAATCTTACCTGAATGGCACAACCCCGAGCAACTGCTTCGTCCGCATTGAGTGTGGTAGTCGCCTCATGACCGAAAACCATAGCGGCAGCTTTTCGCAAACCTGGAATGCGGCAACAACCACCGACCAGTTCGACTGCTTGAATCTCGGTGGTTTGTAGTTTTGATGCAACTAAACAGCGCATAAGTGTGGCGTAGAATCTAGCAAGCAGTTTTTCGGATAGCACCTTGAAAGGGAGCAACGTAAAAGTGTGTGGTTAGATAGAATAACGGATCGATCGTTTCAGACTTACCTCAAAGTCACTACTTCGCATGGATAACGGTACAGTAGTCCTCTTAACCAGGCCGTCGACTTTGATTGGCAACGCGGCATTATTAGCGCTCATGCGAACTTTCAACTGTTCGCATTCTTTGAGTAGTTGATTCCAGGCACTACTGTTGTACTCCAACTAGATCGAATGATGTGGGGAAAAAAATAGATTAGTTGTTTTTGCCTTTCCTTTTGGTCTCATTGTGAACACATACATGTATTAAATTTTTCCAAAGGCTGAGTGCATGTAATTCGAGAAAAACACCGCAATGTTCAACCATCTATATGCCGTGAAACTAAATAGAATGAGAAGAAAAATAATGTGAAAAAGTGAACAACAAACGTTTGAACATTCTATCAGTACATGAATGTCTAAAACAAGCGCGGTAATGCTCAGCTGCACAATTTGGACACCACAACCATGATGCTTGAAAAATGAGTTAAAATCGTAGGCTAAACAAGTGGTATTCAGCAGCGACAGAATAGACATATACTACGTTTCGTTGTAACACCTATATGGGGAACACGTTGGCAGAGCCCTCAAAGAAACAACAGATAGCTTGTCTTCTATAGTTGTTTGCCAAATTGACTTCTCTATGCAATCCACGGGTATTTTCCAGTATTCTATAGTTGTATCAACTTTTTGCTTTCCTCATTCTCAAATAACTTTTCTTAAGTCCCCTCCCCCTGAATGAAATTCACCGCTTTCCTCATCGCAGAAGCACCAAGCGGGAGTTTTGATCGCATTTGAGTTCACAAGAGCCACATGTTTGTTGATGTGATATACTTTCCATTATATTCTAAAAGTAGTATAACTAGAAAAATAAAATACACATTTATTTCATGTATTTTCATCCATTTTCTAACTCCTACTGCTTCAGCACCTTATTTTTACTTACCTTTGTGTGATACTTTCTTTCCAAGATACCTCGAAAATGGTCGAAAATAACTTGATCGAAATCACGACCACCGAGATCGTCGTCATATGCGGTGGCCAAAATTCGTGTTGTGCCCTTGGTGATCGCGCAAATAGCCACCTGCGTATGCCTATACCCAATACTGACAAAAGCCACGTGTTGGGGTGAATCCGTGATTGCTAATACATTGTCTTTACAGAATCCGTAGGCAGTAGCAACTGAAGAGTGAAAGGAATTGAAAGAGAAAAATGAAATAGTTGATCACACAGCCGCTTCTGGGTGTCATCAGATCTTACAAGGTCAATCCTTGGTTTTGAATAGCGGTTTTAGGGCACAGTACTTGGCAAATCACCGAACTCAGTACAGCTTCAACCCAATCGTTTTAAGCTAAACGTAAACGGAATTAGTTTGGTTTAATTAACTTCTAGAAGTAAAACAGCGTGACGAACTATCTCGATTGAAGTGTTCCATAGGCTTACCGATGTCTACATATAGTCACGCATAGAGGTATTTGTGGGAAAGTAAATATTCACATGGTTGGTTTCATCTTGAGATCGGATAGGAATTCGCAAAGTGTATATAGCTGTCTCGTTGTTCATTATACGAGTCTGGCGGGGTAATCGGACGAGCAATGCTGATATTAGGCTTAAAGGTTTTGGCAGCCGCGGTCGTTTACTACAGCAAGTAACCGACCTCCATAGATTACGCTGATTTGGGGCATGTGTTACGCCTGTCACCAGATAGGTTGCCGTGACGTGCGACGTTTGCCGAGGCAGACAGCGGTTGGAAAAAGGTCAAGGGTGGTCAAACGAAAACCTGGCATGAGGGTATGAAAACCCCAACTAGGAGTTTAGGTCACACAGGTCCCGTTTGGCTTCCTGGCTGGAAACTGCGAGATGATATTCCCCGATGGTTAGAGACACTGATTAATATGGCTAAGTATCGCAAACAGTGGCTCTCGTGCATCCACTCATTATTCTCCTAACACCACTCTGTATGAATTTTCCATCTTCCGCTTGAGTTTGCTTTCAACGTTCCAATCTTCATTCTACTCGTTTATCCAAATGGGACACCAAAAGAGCAAACAAAACCGGCGCACGAAAGTGCATGGTTAATGGTTGTAATAACTGAACTGAACTGAACCGTTGTTCATTCGACCATCGAGGCTGATCGGAGTTTGTTCTATGTAGTTTTGGGTGAATCCGAGGGGCCTGCCTAAACTGCTAATGGTAAACCTAAGTGTGTGTGTGCAGATGAATTCCTGCCGCTTGCACTGTAGGTAGCACACGGCCGAGAGCTGCCCTTAATAGTCAACTGCAAACTCTTTACTGAGAGCGGAATACCTCAATCACATTCACAGCGTGATTTGTTTCAGCTAGATGTTAGCGACTTAATTATTTCAGTGTTCATCCTTGCACAATGGTGTTCATGGTCTTCGTCAGGCAACCGCTTGACCATGATGTGGTTCCACAAAAACAGGTAATTGAGAACACATAAAATGAGGCGGCATTTTCAGGTACGAGTTACCCAGTCGTAAAATTACAATAAGCTCAAACATAAGTAAAATATTGAGCTTTGCTGCACAGGTTTCATTGAAATATTTATTTATATTTTTTCTACAGACTTATCCCTCCTGGAATGAAGTGGTCATGTATATCAACTGTTTCCTAACCTCGATCTACATTAAAACATTCCAGCTGCAGTGACGCTGCCTGCTTACTAGACTGCATGAACAGATATTTATTACATGCTGAGTCACCTATCAGAAGTCGGAGCTTCGCTTCGATTGAATCTTCGTTGGGCTACTTGCTATACAGAGAAACAAATTAATTTTCGAAAACCCTTTCCCTTTGATTTATTGGAATAAAGCAAGTAACAGTACAAACAGAATGGATATTGATAAGCAATTTCGCGCACTTCAATTAGCTGTCCAACACACTTTAAATAAGCCTCAATGCTATGAAAAGAATACCATATATGCAAATATACATATGTGGTATTTTTCTTTACTTTTACCAGTGCAGAGTGACGGAAACATGTGGTCTATTCAAGTTGTATTC